ACAGGCTTTCATTCCAAAGTTTGCAAGCCTACGAAAGCAGCGATGTTGGACACCGTTTAGACAGAAACGTTTTTTGTGAAACCAGTGATGACGACAAGCAGGATGTCTATGCGAGATCAGACATTCTAATTTGATGAACGATCAGTGTGTTAAGGACCGCAGGCCGACTGATGGTAAGTGGGACTTGCACCACTCCCATTCCCGAATCTCCACGTCACAATTACCGAACAACAGGCCTCAAGCAGGAACGAGCATCAAGCTTGCATGCTAGCTTGCAAAGAGACTCGGTCATCTGCAGAAAGACACATGGTGTCGCTTCATGAAGGGGGTTGTTAGAGAACGGACATGCCGAGGTAATGCACCTCAAGTCGATCCTGATGAGGAATGCCGGTACCGCCCTGTTTGGGTTACCACCACCGAAGAACCGGAAAAATCAGGGCTGTATTTTGACTCTTCTGCTCAGGTTGAAGGTGTATATTAACAAAAGGTTCTAACTCAAAGGACCTGTATGTAAACAGGTTTTGCTTTGGCGTTTTAGCTTTCGTTTCAAGGAAGGAAGCCATTCGCGAATTGCTGTATATGTTGAGCAACATGTTCTAATTGTTTCTCCGTCTCACGAGCATCATCGCAACTACTGAGGTTTTCTGTGGTAATGAAAACTAAATGATCCTTCAAAGGAGCTCAATAGAGTACCGCATGTGGCATCATGTGTTTGGAACAGCCCGTCCTGAGCGATAGCCCAGTTAATGACTACGACGTACAGCCTTGAGCTGAAGGAGATTTCGGACATGATATGAGGGAATTCTGGAAAACGATTGTCTAACCGTTGATGATGGCCTCGCCTCTGTGTACATCTTTGGCAGCAAGATCCGCTATAGAACTTGATAAGACAGAAACACAGAGGACTCCAACAGCAAGTGCATACGTTGTCACAAACTTAATTTCAATATTCTAAGGAGCGTGATTGAGCATTCCGCAGTGAGGATTATAGCGAAGGATTTGAAGGAACTTCAGGAAATTGGTGTAGAATTTCAGCTCATTTTCCCACTATGGAGACCAGCGACGTCTTGGCTATGCTGGGATCTCAACTCGGAACACCTTCAGCATCAGTTCTCGGTACAATGTCAAACCCTATATCGCGAAGCGCGCGTTCTCGCAACAGTGAACCAGTTTATATGAATCCTACCTCGGCGTGTCTTGCCACTGTCCACTCATTAGGGGCAAGATTTTGCTGCGTGAAATGGTCCGGAACACCAAGGCTGGGATGAGCGCATCCCGGAGGGATTTCGCAGAGGCTGATGGCGGGTGAACAATCTTCATATTCTGGTAACTTTGGAAATCCCTAACGACGACAACAATCCCTTTATCAGTCAACTGTCCATCTATCCTCATTCGGACCAGTTCGGGGGCAAAGGATGCTATTTGTAAGTCACCACCCTTCCACATATATTGCGATGCTTATCTGAGAAGGCAATTGCAGCCGTAGCATACCTTGAAGGACTGTGGACACTTCTGGAACGAACACGTGGGATTTGATATTAGGAGTCAAATGTCGAAAGCTAGGCACCTTAAGGAACAGCGTTCTACAAATGCATGGTCCAATTCACACACGTCTATGAAAACCTTTATGTGCTTCAGTGTTGCTGTCGAAGTTTGGTGACATATTGTCTGCGACGAGTCTGTCCACTTCGCACCAGAAACCTCGTAATACTATAAAAACATCATTCAGAACAGCAAGGTGTGCAGGCATTACCTCAAGAACAAGACACGGAGATTTCTATGTGTGATATTGAGATGACAACCCAGTCGCTTGTCAGCAAGTCTGAAGTTCTCAAAAGTAGCCTCACATCAGTGGTGTTTATGAGTACCACAGAACAAAATCCTGCAAGTACTTCATGGGAGAATCGATACAAACTCTGACCTGCAACTTCTGATGGTATACTGGCAAAGCGCCCACTCATGGCTCCAGGGCCCTCCCAGCTCCTGTTGCGCAGAGCATGTGAGAGTCATGAACGACGAGTTTCGCTAGACTGGTGAAATATCCTGAGGCAATGACAAAGCACATTCGGCCAGAGGTTAACAGTTGCAAGTCGCAGGTTTGAGACATAACGTCTGCAGTCCGCGTGTTCGGAAGATATGGACCACCAGCCGCAGGTTAATAGCGTACTCTTGAATGTTTGCCCACTCTCGGTAAATGCCATCGCGTGCCTGAAGACATGTGCTGCAAGTTATTTACCACGTTGTGACACGGGTCATGGACAAAATGTTATCATGTGTCTGGCAATACTCTGTGAGCATACATTTGAACCTGAATGCCTACACCGGACAAGGGAGCAATTAAAAAAAACACTTATTTGTTCCCTATGAAAGAAGTTACAGCATCAGTACTGCACTGGATAGAGATTGACTATGTCTTG